CGTGTTTGTCAGATATAGAAACATCTAAAGGTAAACTGAGCCGTCGACTGTCATTATTTTCCATTGCGGGAAAGTTGTGGAATTTACATCACTTTCTATTATTGACCAATATGATTAATACTTGCGACCCGCATAAATTTTCTTTTAAAAATTTTTTGTAACCGTAAATTTCATAATTTCAGCACGACACAATAATTAATCCTTAAAAACAATTACAATGGTTCTTTTTCCTCTTTCAAAATTGATTCTTGAAGTTGATTTCTAATTACCAAATGTATCTTAATGTATTCATACCTTCACCATCGTTACGTTTATTACTATCGAAGTCAACCTGAAATGAATTAATTTGAAGAATGCGAGAATGGTATGAGATTGTAGCAAGAATTATCTCTAATTAATACGCAAGCATTACTAAAATTAATTAGCTCTCACTAACTAACTGGAGAAACAATCACATTAATGAACAATCACATTAATCTGTACTGCACTAATTACGTTTTACTTCTTCAATAAGAGAATAAATCTTAACTAACCTCTTCATAATCCCTTTCCAAAGCAGCAAGATCTTCACGTGCTTCCGTGAATTCTCCCTCTTCCATACCTTCTCCAACGTACCAATGAACGAAGGCACGTTTTGCATACATCAAATCGAATTTATAATCTAGTCGAGCCCAAGCTTCTGCAATAGCTGTTGTATTGGCTAGCATACTTACAGCGCGTGGTACCTTCGCGACATCACCACCTGGGACAACTGTCGGTGGTTGATAATTGATACCTACCTGAAATATCATATTGAGAATATTTCCTGGAATAAATGAGTTTAAAAATTAATACTGATTAATTCTTAAAATTACTTTGAAACCAGTTGGGCACCAATCCACGAATTGTATCGTACGTTTTGTTTTAATACTGGCAATAGCTGCATTGACATCTTTAGGTACGATGTCACCACGATATAAAAGACATACTGCCATGTACTTTCCAAGGCGTGGGTCACACTATAAATAGTATTATGATCAGCATAAAAACATTTTATTTTTTTTACTAGTGATTATAACTCACTTTAACCATTTGATTGGCTGGTTCAAAGCATGAGTTAGTGATATCCATTACAGATAACGATTCGTGATAAGCCTTTTCAGTAGAAATTATCGGAGCATAAGTAGTCAAGGGGAAATGTATACGTGGATATGGTACCAAATTTGTTTGAAATTCTGTCAGATCAACATTCAGCACACCATCAAAACGAAGTGAAGCTGTGATCGAAGAAACTACCTGAAATTACCTTTTCATCCGATAGGTAACATAGCGATAACTTTTCATTAAGTACGAACAAGGTAATTGGATTTTCTATGAAATTAACCGTCCAAAAGAAGCATAACTTTGGTTCCATTCTGGAATTATGCTTATCTGAACGGAAATGCAGAAATGATAATAACCTGTGAGATTAAACGATTGAGATTGG